GGAAGGAAGGAAGGAAGGAAGGAAGGAAGGAAGGAAGGAAGGAAGGATTAGAATTCAGGTCATATAATGGGTCATCAAACAGACATTCCATGGCATGCCTATATTCCTGGTACAAGCTGGGCAACTCTGCCCCCTCGCAATCTGTGGTGGTAAAGGGCGAGAGTCACTTTAAGAGAATTAGAATCTTAAGAGAGCTGGAAGACCGTTGGAGATGAGTCGGAACTCCGTTTCTCTGTGTCCAGCATCAGTTAAGATGACGGCATTTCTCAAAAAGCTGATGAGCATTACTTGCTTTTGAAGGTAACATTCATCTCCCAAACTTCTCCCACTGGGCATTTGTATGGAGAGAAGCAGGGAAAGGCTACCCATGAATAACTAATAACATTATCCCTTTCGGCGTCTCCATCTCCCATCCGATGGAGCCACCTGCCCCCCCTCACCATCTCCTCACGACCCCCTCTGGCCTCCAGCTGCTTGTCCAGAAGTTATCCTGGGGGGGGGGAGAGACCTTCAACAAACCCCTTCCCCTTCGACTGACACCAGAGGATTTGTAATTGCGTGCACGTCTGCGCTTGGAAGCCACAATGACCTCTGGTGACTGACCCCTCCTGGGGGCCTGGAGGATATTCAGAGAGGCGGCTGAATAAAGCCTGCCCCCACCTCCCAACTGCTGATATTCCAAGGAGGTCTCCCACCCAAGTACTAACCACAGTCGATCCTGCTTAGCTTCTGAGATCTGATGAGATTGGTTTTGCTTGCGCTATCCAGGTCAGGGCTGTCACCAGAGGATTTGTGAATGTTCCTGTCCAGTGTTTCCTCCAAGCTGAGTCAGTGTGAGCTAGCTCACAGTTTTTTAGCCTCCGGCTCATACATTTTTGCCTTAGCTCAGGAAGGCACTAGCCAAATTGCTTGCTCTCAGTTTTAATGCCAGTAAATCACAAAGTAGAATTTTTTGCTGACAAGACTCCACAGCTTAGAGGGAGCATTGGTCCTGTCCTCTCTCACAAATTCTGGGTCATCTACAGGGGTAGTTTAGAAGGCTGTTGACCCAAAGGTAAGTTAGCAAAGCACGTGCATGACCACATAGTAAGCCCGTGACTCCCCCTGGGAGACGAGAAGAATTTTGAATTTGGGGAGCAAAATTATTCTTGCTGCTCCAAAGGGTTGGCAGATTTCCAGCTCCCTGTCTAGTTTTTTAAAAAAATATATTTATTTATTTGATTTATATACCACCTTCCCCACAAGGGGGCTCAGGGCGGTTTACATCAGTACCATTTAATAAAAGATTAAAACAACATCCAAACACAGATCATAAAAACCTAAAATACTGTGTAAAGTCATAGGTTCTAGTCAGGACTTTTTTTTGCAGAAAAAGCCCAGCAGGAACTCATTAGCATAACAGGCCACACCCAACAGCAGGAACTCATTAGCATAGTAGGCCACACCCCGACAGCACAGCACATTAGCATATTAGGCCACACCCACCTTTTGCTTCTTATTCTGTTTACCTTGTTTGTTGTCCAAACCCAGGGCTTTTTTTGTAGCAGGAACCCTTTGCATGTTAGACCACACACCCCGAATGTAGCCAATCCTAATGAGTTTCTGCTGTTGGGTGTGGCCTATTATGCTAATGAGTTCCTGCTGGGCGTGGCCAACTCAGGAGCCAGCCGGAACGCCGTTCCTGGGCGTTCCTGCCCAAAAATAGCCCTGGTTCAGATGAATTTGAAATATAGCAGTGGTGCCACGATGTCAATTTAGATCCAGGCCACTGGTGGAGGGTTGGCCAGGAAGAGGAATGGATGTCCACCACCTCAACCAAAAGCTCTGTCTTGCGGGCCCTGCGACTTACATGGACCCCGTGGTAAGTTACCACACTGGATGTTGTTACAGATCCAGAGAAACAGCCTCATCAGAGAAAGCTTTTACATCAGCTCTCACACTATCCACCACCATGGAGATTCTCCCGAGACTCTTCGTCTTCTCCGTGCTTCTCGCTACAGGTAAGGAGGGGGTGAGTAGCCCATCGGGGAAGTCTGCTGATGGCTTCTCTTGGGCCACATCTCCCTGGTGTCACTTGAATGGAATGGGGGAAAGATGGCTGAGATTCCCAAGAGCACTAGAGAGCTGGAAGAAAGGGATCCTCTCCCCGCCAGTTTGGTGTCCTAGTTAAGGCTGGCAGACTCTAATCTGGAGAACCAGGTTTGATTCCCCACTCCTTCACATGCAGATGCTGGGTGACCTTTGGTCAGTACCAGTTCTCTCAGACCTGCTTTCTCAGCCCCATGTACCTCATGGTGTCTGTTATGGGGAGAGGAAGGGAAAGGAGATTGTAAGCCACTCTGAGACTCTGAGTGAAGGGTGGGGTATAAATCCAACAACAACTCTCTTCCTTCTCCTCCTCCTTCCTGTCTCCTTCCTAATCCCCTTCTCAAAACCTATGATGCCTTTGGCTTAACCCTCCTGTAGTTATCTCCAAGTGGAAGGAACCCTAGTTATGGCATTTGCTTATCCATTTATCCCCTGTAAGAGGTTTTAATAACAACAGTAATAATGATTTATGCTGCTGCTGCTGTAAGAGAGAGAGAGAGAGAGAGCAGAATCAAATTGCAAATATTGCACACACACCCCGTCATTGCTATGGAGTGCTGTATCACAAAACTATGCTTGATCTGCCCTTGAAGAACTCCAAACAACAAGGGAACTCTAGCTTTCCACTGGAAGAAATGCCAAGAAGAAAAAAAAAGTAGCAATAGGTAAGAGAGAGAGAGCAATGCCTCTTATGCATAATATAATGCAACCAAATGCCATATCCTTGTAATAGTGATTATTTCCTTTTTAAAAAATAAGGAGGACATTAGGCCAGGTGAAATATCGAAGGAAGAGAAGGCACGAGGATAAGCAAAGCAGTTTGGTGTTAGTGGTTAGGAGCGCAGACTCTAATCTGGGAGAATCGGGTTTGATTCCCCAATGCTAGTATGTCCTTGGCTCAGTCACAAGTTCTCTCCAAGCTGTTCTCTCAGGAGCAATTCTCGAAAGAGCTCTCTCAGCCCCACGTACCTCACAGGGTGTCTGTTGTGGGGAGAGGAAGGGAAGGAGATTGTAAACTTCTCTGAGACTCCTTCAGGTCATGAAGGGTGGGGTATAAATCCAATCTCCTCCTCCTCCTCCTCCTGATGCAGGTACCATGCAGGAAGGTAGCCAGTGTGGTGTGGTGGTTAGAGTGCCCGACTAGGTACTGGGAGACCCAGGTTTGAATCCCCGCTCTGCCCAGAAATGTCTTGGGTGACCTTGGGCCGGTCACTCCCTGTCAGCCTAGCCGACCTCTAGAAGGGGGTTGTGAAGGTAGAGCAGAGGAGAATAGAATGGCCTTCTACATGCTGCTCTTTCTTGTCTGTCTCCAGGATCTTTTCTGGAGTGTGAAGTTTGCTCGAGCCCCGGCAGTAACTGTATTGGTGAGAGAGAGCGCTGCAACGCTAATGAAGACACCTGTTCCATCATCTCTATTGAGAATTCTCTAGGTGGGTGCGAGGGACCAGAAACCGGGTGAGGGGGGTGGACAGGGAGTTTACTGCCTGGTTGGAAATTGACTTGGGTGCTGGACTGGCGGAGGCTTGCTTCAGGTTCCACACGGTTCATCTGCAGTGCCTTTTGCCATTGTCATAGAATCACAGAGTTGGAAGGGGCCATACTGGCCATCTGGTCCAAGCCCCTGCTCAGTGCAGGATCAACCGCCCCTACAAGCTTCCCTGACAAATGTTTGTCCAGCTGCCGCTTGAAGACTGCCAGTGAGGGGGAGCTCACCACCTCCCGAGGCAGCTGATTCCACTGTTGAACAACTCTGACTGTAAAGAAGTTTTTCCTACTACCCAGCCGGAACCTTCCCGCCCTTAATTTAAACCCATGATTGCGAGTCCTCTCCCCTGCTGCCAAGAGGAACAGCTCCCTGCCCTCCTCCTCTAAGTGCCAGCCCTTCCGATACTTAAAGAGAGCAGTCATGTCCCCCTTCAACCTCCTCTTCTCAAGACGGAACGTTCTCAAGTCCCTCAGCCTTTCCTCAGAGGGCTTGGCCTCCAGGCCCCCGATCATCCTCGTCACTCCCCTCTGCACCCACTCCATTCTCTCCACATCCTTTTTGAAGTGAGGCCTCCAGAACTGCACGCAATACTCCAGGTGCAGCCTGATCAATTTGGTGTACAGCAGGACTATGACATCTTGCAATTTAGATTTCATGCCTCTGTTGATACCCCCCAAGATCGCATTAGCTTTTTTGCCCTTGCATGAGCCCCAGTTGTGTTACCCAGACTGGTCTAATTAACTAATTGATTGATTGGGGAATTTAGCTTTTAGCAAGAGGGGAGTAACCTGAGATCTTTTCACCTGTGTATACGGGGTCCTTCCCCAAGAACTCTCAAAGGAACCAGGCTGACGTTTAACTAACAGAGCATTATTGAAAGAAGGCAAAACACACATATGGAATACAGAGTAAATGAAGCATACAAGGTCTACCCAAGAAACAAAGATTGTAGCAGGGAACAGAGATGAGAGTAGGCTGTATTTACTTATCTAGAAACTTTGGTCCATGGAAGGGAAGAGTGACCAGTGCTCGGTGGATGTGGTTGATGTCAGTCACACACACACACATTGGGGTTTGGGTCCCCTTGATATTGGGGAAATGTGGTTTGAAGCAGAATGACATATGTTGCCAAGATCAAAACCTTGGTCAGTTTGCCAGATGAAAAACAATGAAGATGTGAGGTGTTTTGTGGCTTTCTCAGGGGGTCAGTCAAGGGGAGTGTTCTAAATGTATCAGTATCTCTTGATGACCCCTTGGGAGAGGATACCAAATGTGAAATATTGCTTTATTGGGGTAGACACATGAAAGAGAGGGCCAGGTGAGGAGAGAGGGATTTCATTAAAAGAAAGCAGCCACTTCTATGCATAACCAAAACAAAGTATTGTTTCCCCAGTAAATCCACTGCTATTGATCTTTGGGGTGAGAGGGGAATGTCTTGTGAATCAGCCCTTTGGATCTCTTACCAAGTACCTTTCTCATGCTGGTTTCCTGCTTGGCATTTAGGATCACACTCAGGCCAAGCAGTGTCTTATAATCGTGATGTCTGGAGTGATTTTTATATATGAGGGGTGTATGGTATTACTTCCTTTGTGGGAAACCAAGTGCCCATCTGCAGAATGGTGCTGCCTGTGAACAATCCCCCCGAAACAAGGGCAGGAATGTCACATGACTTCATTTTCTTCTTTAAAGCCCATTGAAATGGATGTTTCAAGAAGAGAGAGAGAGAGGTGGATAGGAAGGCATGTGGGGTAGGAATGCGGGATGACGGACATGACTTTAAAACTATGTGTTGGTGTGAAGCCAACGAAGCCAAATTAAAAACACTGAAGCAACTGTCAAGCCATGGGCAGATGTGGGGCATTGAAATAACCAGATAAAATTGCAAGTTGATCACATGATGAGCAATTGAAAAGCAACACCTCTATGAAGATAAAGCGGTACAAATGAGGTTACATGACGTATCTAATTACCCATGGGTGTAAGCAAGCATACTAGCAGTTACTAGCAATTGCACATCTGCAGAATGGTGCTGACCGCGAACAGTTGTATCAGTCCTGCTCCTTCTCAGGACTACTAACATCATTATTTGCAGGGCAAATGGGACAGTTCAAAGGCCAATACAAGTGCAGGTGTCTCCTGCATCACACTGTTCCTAGGCGTGCCCCCTCAATTCTGCATAGAATAAAATAAAAATTTCCACCTTGAATTATCTCACAAAGCATCCAGGTGGGCAGAAGTGTTTTAGAAATACCTGGAAGATAGTGTTGGTAAAGTAAAGGTAAAAGTTCCCTTGCTCGAAAGCCAGTCGAGTCCGACTCTAGGGTTGCGGTGCTCATCTCCGTTTCAAAGCCGAAGAGCCAGCGCTGTCCGAAGACGTTTCTGTGGTCATGTGGCCGGCATGACTAAACACCAAGGCGCACGGAATGCTGTGACCTTCCCACCGAAGTGGTACCTATTTATCTACTTGCAATTTCTTGTTTTCAACTGCTAGGTTGGCAGGAGCTGGAACTAGAGACAGGCACTCACTCTGTCATGTGGCACACTCGGGTCTCGAACTGCTGAACTACTGACCTTCCACAGCCTGCAGTTCAGCGTCTTAACCACTTGAGCCACCACAGCTCCTTGTATAGTGTTGGTAGCTGGATTCTAATTATCCATATCCACAAGTTCAGCTATCATCTTGAATGCTGAAGAATGAAGTCAGAGTCTGTAGTAGCAAGGGGTGAACTAACATCTGGTGGATGTAGGATTTGGTTCACCAGGCCAAGCTGTTTTCTTTACAATTATTTAATCTAAGCCCTGTTCTGATAACTGATTGCCTGTTGATACCTGTATGATATTATCCCCAAAATTTTGATCCAGAGACACAACTGATAGGGACAGTACCCTATCCCAAGCAGGTCTATTCATTGTTGAATTCTAATCCGTTCAATTGGAGTTACTCCCAGGTAAGGGGGCATGAGATTGTACCCACTGTGTAAAGGTTTTCATAAAATGTGTGGGCCCCTCCTAGTTTGGTTATGCCTAACATTCAGGAATATTTTGCCTTCTCTTGGGTCCAAAGAAGAGCAGGGCTGATAGTTGAGCACCGGATCCATTTAATGCTCCCTCTAAGCCACGCATACACACAAGGCTCCCTCTAAGCTGTGGAATCTTGTGAGCAAAAATTCTACTTTGTGAGCTACTGGCATTAAAGTTGTGAGCGAGCAATTTGGCTACTGCATAGATTAGTTTCCTCTAGAGCCCCCCTTCCTGAGTGAAGACAAAAATGTGTGAGCCGGAGGCTAAAAAAAAACTGCGCTAGCTCACACTAACTCAGCTTAGAGGGAACACTGGTTTCGAGGTGTTGGTGTTCACCTTTCAGGCACTATATGGCCAGGGGCCTGCATATCTGCAAGACCGCCTCTCCCTCTATGAGCCCCGAAGGGCTCTACAGTCTGCCAGTCAACACCTTCTGGTGGTCCCTGGCCCCAGGGACGTCCATCTTGCCTCGACTAAGGCCAGGGCCTTTTCAGCCCTGGCCCCTACCTGGTGGAATGAGCCCCCATATGAGATCAGGGCCCTGCGGGACCTTCTACAGTTCCACAGGGCCCGCAAGACAGAGGTCTTCTGCCAGGCTTTTAGTTTAGGTAGTGGAAGTCCCCCCTCGATTGGGCCTCCCCCTCAGCGGGTCAGATCTGTGTTATTATCTAGGAAACCAAAGTCAAATTAGACCTCATCTGTTGAGGCTTTGATCAGAAGTACGGGAATGCTATTGTATTTTACCTGAGGTTTTCAATGGTTTGTCTATTGCATTGATGGAACCCACCCTGAGCCTGCTATGTGGGGAAGGTGGGATACAAATCTAAAATAAATAAAATAATATATGGGGCCGTGGATGTGGAGAACGGGCTTAGACCCTCCCAAGTGGTGTGGGCTCCTACAGTTGCGTTTTAACTGTAAAGGTAAAGGTAGAGGTTCCCTTGCTCGAAAGCCAGTCGAATCCGACTCTAGAGTTGCGGTGCTCATCTCCGTTTCAAAGCCAAAGAGCCAGCGCTGTCCGAAGACATTTCCGTGGTCATGTGGCCGGCATGACTAAACACCAAGGCACACGGAACGCTGTTGCCTTCCCACCGAAGTGGTACCTATTTATCTACTTGCAGTGTCGTGCTTTCAAACTGCTAGGTTGGCAGGAGCTGGAACTAGAGACGGGAGCTCACTCCGTCATGCGGCACACTCGGGTCTCGAACTGCTGAACTACTGACCTTCCACAGCCTGCAGTTCAGCGTCTTAACCACTTCAGCCACCGCAGTATTAACTGTACATAGCTTTTAAATGTTGTGACCCGGTCTGAGCCTTACTGAGCAGGGGAGGGAAGGCTACAAATCCAATTAATAAAATAAATATAAACAAGTGGACAATAGCCATTCACTGCTATGGAGGAAAGAACATCACTGCATGTGTGGACAGAGTTTTGGCCCATCTCTGACCATGTGTGGTCCATGAGAAAGTTCTCTGAGGGATCCTTGCGACGCCCCAGTCCTCCATCCCACCGCAACCCGTTGCAACCCATCCCACTCGGTTGTTCTGCCAGTCACAGGGACACTTGTTTTGCCAGTCACAAAAGAAACACCTCTTGCCTTCTGTTGCCTCTGCAGAAGACCTCACGGTTCAGACGGTAGCAAAAGACTGTGAGTTTTCTGAGTCCTGCATGACTCCTGGGAAGTCCATGAATATGGGGCGTGGAAGAACCATCCAGACTTACTCCATCTGTTGCATTGAGGATTCCTGTGCAGTGGAAACCCCTAAGAGTAGGTGCATCTTTTATTTGTATACTTATTTGGTTTCCCCACATCCTGTTCCACCCCTCACGTTGTCCTTTGATCCATTTCGCAATGTAATTCATTCTATCGGCTCCTTTCTGCAATGGAGGTTGCATCCCAGGTGGATGATACAGGCATGCTTGCACGCTTTTCAAACCAGTGTAGTGTAGTGGTTGAGAATGTCAGACTACTATCTGGGAGGCTCGGGTTTGAATCCCCACTTGTACCATGGAAGCTTCCTGGGTGACCTTGGGCCAGTCACTGCTCCCATCCTAAGCTACCTCACGGGGTTGTTGTGAGGGTAACATGGAGGAGAGGAGAATGATGTAAGCTGCTTAGGTTCCCCATTGGGAAGAAAGGTGGGGTATAAATGAATTGCATATATTAAATAAATGATCAGAGGCATTGGTCATGGAATGATAAAACTGAGCATTTATTGCCGGGCTTTGCTATACTGTAAAATGCTCCACGCCACTCCTATAGAGCTCAAGGCAGGACAAAGCAAGTTCCAAGGAATCTGCAACACTGCATACGATGCTGTGCTTCCTAATACTGGTAGCTCAAATCTGCTTCTCTGGCTCTTGCTGGACAGCTCCCTGATAGTTCAGCACTGGCTCTTGCTGGACAGCTCCCTGATAGTTCAGCACTGGCTCTTGCTGGACAGCTCCCTGATAGTTCAGCACTGGCTCTTGCTGGACATCTCCCTGATAGTTTAGCACTCTGGTTCTGGTTCCCTGGCTTCCAGCACCTGTTCATCCGGCATTTGCTTCTCTGATTCTGGATAGAGGAGGAGGAGGAGGTTGGATTTATACCCCGCCCTTCACTACCCAAAGGAGTCTCAGAGCGGCTTACAAACTCCTTTCCCTTCCCCTCCCCACAACAGACACCTTGTGAGGTAGGCGGGGCTCAGAGAACTCTTGACAGAAACTGCTCTTTTTCAAGGACAGCTCTTATCAGAGCTACGGCTTGCCCAAGGCCATCCAGCCAAGTGCAAGTGGAGGAGTGGGGGAATCAAACCCGGTTCTCCCAGACTAGAGTCCGCGCACTTAGCCACTACACCAAACTGGCTCTGCAGTTGTCTCAGAGGTCTCTCATCCCCACCTACCTCACAGGGTGTCTGTTGTGGGGAGAGGAAGGGAAGGCGATTGTAAGCCGTTCTGAGACTCCAAGTGAAGAGTGGGGTATAAATCCAATCTCCCTCCTCCCCTGCCCTTCTTCTTCTTCTTCTTCTTCTTCTTCTTCTTCTTCTTCTTCTTCTTCTTCTTCTTCTTCTTCTTCTTCTTCTTCTTCTTCTTCTTCTTCTTCTT